TTATAGAAGGTCTATATGCCTTATAAGAGCCTTATAGAAGCCCGATATACCCTAAACTCCCCACCTGTAGTTTCCTTTAATTAAGTCAAGTTTTCTGCTGGGAACCAAAGATTGCAGTTTACGGGTTGCTGGGGTATCGCATGGATGGGCGATTAGAGATAGCTTCCCCTGTGCACAAGAGCTCCGAAGTTGCACACTCCGCCCCAGATCCCTCAGCTCTAGCCCTCTAAACCCCTATAAAATAAACCTAAGCCCCTTAACCCCAAGCTCTAAAACCCCAAAACCCAAAACCCCTAAAACCCTAAACCCGAAGCCCTAACCACTGCCAGCCCCAAGCCTTGGTGTCGATGTCGGACGCAACCTCCACTGAAAGTCTATGCAAGAACAGACCCCCTCAAGCCCACATGGGTGGTTTAGGGTTCAAGGGTTTAGGGGTCTAGGGTTTAAGGGTTTAGGGGCTTAGGGTTTAGGATTTATAGGGCTTAGAGGTTTAGGGTTTAGGATTGGGTTGTTTGGGTAGTTCTCTGAATGGGTCCCTGTTTAGGGCTCCTTGTGTCTTGAAGCGATCTAAAAGGTTTTCTATAACTATAGGGTTTCCAGAACGGGTACTACAAGGGTTCGACATGGGTGGTCGTGGTCTAAGTTAGGGTTTGTTTTTCGGGTCCTATATAAGGGTGCCGTACTAATTTAGTGACTAAAAAGGGGACCCTAATATAGACATGCAGCGATGAAGACAGTCCGACAGCGAGCCCCAGTGTATTCCATGACATCTTGGACCATGATGTTGCTACAGCACGGTTTGGCACAGGCCAGCATGTCGGTCCTTTCGAAAGGGATTCGCGGGCTCAGCGGCATATTTGTTAGGGTTTAGGGTTTAGGGTTTAGGCTCATAGGTCATAGGTATTGTGGTGTGGGTATCAGTGACTGGGACCCACTCGTACTCATCAGGTTCTGGCATGCGTCCGAACGAAATCAGGCAGCAGTAAGTTTAGGGGCTTTGAGAATTACCAACGCAATTTTGAGGGCTCCTTATTATCACCCCATAAGTATAGCAAAATATTTACTGTACCCCAGAACCCGATTCCATTAATTCAGGCCTCCCCAAAAAGCAATCAACGCACTCATGTCCTTCGTTGTGCCAGGTGCGCGACCTTTCTTGTCGGCCCTGTGCCGCGAGTTCGAAGGTGCCTTTGGGGCAGGTGAAACCTGGCTTGTCTGTCTAGTTTAGGGTTCAAGGGTCCTGAGTTTAATTGAGGGTTTAGGATTTAGAGGGGTTTAGGGTTTAGGGTCTAAGGTTTAGTTGAGGGTTTAGGGCTTAAGGGGTTCAGGGTTTAAGAGTCTAGGGGTTAGGATTGGGTTATGTGGGTAGTTCTCTCGACTAGGTTCGCTTTTAGTGTTGGTTTTACAAGGGTGCCGTACTAGTTTGGGGACGCAACAAAAAGAAAATTACCCAACTGTCAAGTCCACGATTGGACCAGGAGAGTGCGGTTAGCTGCATTCGACGATTGCAGCGACGACGATGCTGAAGACGACTTCTGCGGCCAAAACCGCTACAACCGCCAGTACAACAACTACGACGACGACGACTACTACTACTTCTACTTCTACTTCTACTTCTACTACTACTACTACTACTACTACTACTACTACTACCACCACCCCTACCCCTACCCCTACCCCTACCCCTACCACTACCACTACCACCACCACACCACTTTCACTACAACCACGACTACAACTCGACTACGACAACTCCTACTCCTGCCTACTTGTATCCATGCTAATAACCTTATATATCAAAGACAACCAAATAATCTAAACAATCATGATAGTTATGACACTGAACCACGATGCACGAAAGCCTACACTGACCCTTTCCTCTAAAGTCAGCGGCCTGAAACAAGCGTCAAAGGCCTACACTCTGCTAAATCCTAAGTTCCACAGATCAGAAAGGCCCGAACCGACAACATGCTTGCTACTGGGCAGCAGAATCCGCTGCCCCGAGCTGGTTGAAAAGCTGTCCGACCTTCCTTAGCCCGAGCGGTCTGAAATACTCTTCTGCATTCGGATACGAAGGCATGGGGTCTAGCAGGGTTTGCAGGGTTGACAAAGAGGGTGCAGTATGGCCTGGCGCTAGTTTTAGAAAGTTGTATCTATGTATGCAGCCTTGGCAATTGGTATAAACTGCTGTGGTACATGAAACCATGCCCATTTCGACGACCGTAAGGAATACTGTTTCCAACTAAAGACCATGATGGACCATGAAGGCTCGTGGGTGAACACTTGAAAGAGTCTTACTTAAGGATCTCGGACTTCAAGGGTTTTGTGCGCGTGTGTCTCGAACCATTCAAAAGAAGTGCTTTCCTAAGCCCCAGATGAGAGGCTCGGACCCAAAGTGTTCACCTGTAATCCGAAAACCCAAAATACTCAACCTATTTAGGCTGTTGGGGGAGATTGCGCGGGTTCGGGAATTCCAGACTAAGTGGCGAAGTTATAAACCACAATACTTTGAACAGGGTCTTGATGTACAGGGCCTTGGACCGTAGCTCCAGTGTGCGATTAGGATGCCGCAGAGCTCAATGGGGACATGAATACACAATTAGAATCACCTTTCAGTTCAACCCTCAACAGAAAGACCACTAATTGCTTCTTATGGAGCCCATAGTCGGAAGCTCTCGGAGACACGATTCGGCACGTTTCAGTTTTTGCCATCGCGTGAAGCCCTGCTCAAACTCGAAACAACACCAAGCAGCTTGATGAAGGAACCTACAGAAGAAACTGCAGAAACCCAGCAACTACCGGCGTGAAGACCTACCAAAAAGAGGAGCCCTGGAAATCACACCATGCCTCCGTCTATGACACCACTCCGAATCGCCCTGCAGAAACTGAATAAGAGCACCGATGGGAATACCGTTGAATCCAGGCTAGCAGCTGCTTGTGGGCCTCCTTGTTCCTGGGCTTCTGCTTTGTTGCGCGTTTGTCTTGGTTTTGACCCAGACCATCTCGAATCGTTGGCGAAGCATGTGGAGGGTTGTGGTGCTGCAAACGCTTCATGCTAAAATGTTGGACCCGGCTGCTGTGCGCTGGCGTGCTCTCTGCTTGCGTCTATTGCCGATGTCACCATTCACTTTGGGTAGACGATGATGAAAAGATGACGTGATGATGTGATGATGATGATAACAATGATGATGATGGTTATTACGATGATGAAGAAGATGATGATGATCTCGATGATGGTGGTGCTGATGATAGCGATGGTAATTGTGATGCTGATGTTGGCGATGTACTGATGAACATGATAACGACGATGATGATGATGATGATGGTGGTAGTGATGATGGTGGCGATGGTGGTGATGATGACAATGCTGACGATGATGATGATGATGATGATGATGATGATGACGATGACGATGATGATAGAAATCACATCTTGCTGGCGCCGGCAAGAGCCTCTACGACTGCAGATCCCATTGCCTCCCACTATTTCAGAACTCGCTCCTACCAGATTCAGCATGTTGAAGTTCTCAAGCTAGGGCGCCCACGTTCCGACACAGATGAACAAATTAAAGGATGTTTTGGGGGAATCTGCATCGGGTGTGTGAATAATTAACGGGCGGCACACACACACACACACATATGCCACTTTTGGGAGATGTAAACCTTACGCCTAGATCTGTCGTTAAAAGCTTGCAGTGCCTGTTATCAGCAGTGGATCTAACATTTCGCCTCTATGTCGTGCTGAAGACCTTAAGTTCTTCAAGCAGTCTCTGTCAACATGTCAGGCATCCTAGATCCTAAGTCGAAGTTCTTGAACCGTAAGCCTTGCGCACATATTGATTTAACTATCTATGGGAACATCACCGTGAGACTACCGTGAGCGTGTAATTGCACAGCCAGCCATGTCTCAACCCTGCACCCAATACAACCCGCGCTCTAGACCCTACACGTCCCTACACCCTAACGCCCAGCTGCGCCAGGATGGACTGGACAACGTTGACATGATCGTTTTGAGCGCTTTCGATGGCGCTTTGACAGAACCTCAACCAAGCGAGAGCCGGCGATGTTGTCAAGGAGTGTGTTGCAGGGTCTCCGGTGTTGCGGCGATGAAGACAGCTCAAAAAGCCCGTCTCTGCAGCTCGTTGGCGTTCGCAAGCACTTGTTTCGAGGAGCTTTGCTTTGGAGAGTTTTGGCTTCGGATTAGACTTGGTGACAAGTATTTCCAAAACAGTCTGTTGGCTCAGGGTTGAGGCTCTTTGTGTGGGATTACATGGTCAAGCTTAGTGGTCAGAGCTTAGGGCTGGATTCGGGCTTTGAAAGGAAACCTTTCTGGAATGTAAGGTCTGCTAGGGGATGCTGGCTTAGCCTGTGGATTGCAAGGCTTGGCCATGAGGCGGTGATCCACACAGCAGGGTTGGTGTCCAAGGTGCCCTTCGAAACCTGAGCCTGCCCTTTCGAAGGAGTGAGATCCACAATGCTGTAAGACTCCGTGGGAGACTGACAAAAGCCAAACCAACCCTTTAGGTTTCAAGAATGTAACTCCACGCTAGAATCCAGACCCATGTGCCGACATGTAGCACTGCCGTCACCACATTGAGCCTCATTCCAGCGGGGCTTGGTGGGGTGAGTCCGGGTAACTGCTACGTCTCGGGTC